CGTCGACGTACGCGGCCATCGATTTTCCTAGCAGGTGCTGAAACAATCGGGCCACCATTCGGGTATACGTGCTCCGGCGTTCTTGAGCCCAAACGGCATGACTCGGTAACAATAAACTCCGTCCGGTGTCAGAAATGCGGTCTTTTCTTGTCCGCCGAGTGCATGAATATCTGATGATACCCCCTAAAGGCGTCCATAAAGCTCAACAGCGCCGACCCCGCCGTCTCGTCGACCAGTTGATCGATCCGCGGTAAGGGAAACGGATCTTTTGGGCAGGCCTTATTAAGGTCGGTATAGTCTACGCACATCCGCCCACGCCGGGGGCTTGGGTACAAGGACCACATTCGCCAACCATCTGGGTACTTAACTTCGCGGACGGTGTCCGGCTGCGAGTAGCGTGCTCACTTCCTTCTTCACAAATTCTCTTCGGTCGTTGGCCAGGTATCGCTTCTTCTGCACAACCGGTCGATGCCCGGGATCCACAGCGAGTCTGTGCGATATGATCGATCGTCGACGCCTGGCATGTCCTCCGGGCACCAGGCGAAGACCATCCGGTGTTCCTGGAGCACCTTTATAATTTCTTCCTTTACTTCCTCGGGGAGGCCGACTCCAATTCGGACTCGTCGGTCCGGCTGCGTGGAGTCGATCTCGACTTCTTCCAACTCGACGGCAGGCTCCGGACGTGGTATTATTGTCCTTTTTGGGGGCCTCTCGGTGATCTCATGGACCTGTATCTCGCGCTTGCCCATCCCCTTACATGCCTGTAGGTAGCAATCGCGAGCGACCTTACGGTCACAGCGCACCGTGCCTATTCCGTTTGGCGTGCGGAATTTTAAGCAAAGATGCTCAATTGAAATCAACGCTCCCAAATCCTCGAGACCGATCGGCCGAGTATAGCGTTATGTGAACAGGCCAGATTCACCACAATGAACTTCATGATGAGTCTCTGTACGTCTGGGTAACTGCCGATCTCAACTGGAAGTGTGATCGATCCTTCCGCCTCCACCGAGTCCCCTGTGAAACCGGCGAGGGGAGTTTTGACAGGACTCAGCTGTTCCCGAGTCATTCCCATTTTGGTGAAGGTTTCGAGGTACAGCACATTGACGCTGCTTCCGGTATCCACCAAGATTCGTCGAACGACAACGCCATTGATGTCCATAGCTATAACCAAGGCATCTCGATGCGGTGTTTCACCGGCTGGTAAATCTCGGGTCGGTAAACACAATGGGCTCTCGACACGCCTTTTTAGGATTCTCCTCGCGCCCGTACACCGTTCCGACGTATAATTGGCGGGCCCAGGCTTTTCTGGTGTTCGTTGAGTCACCACCTTCCGGCCCGCCGACTATCATGTTGATAACCGGCTTCTGACGCCATTGAGCCTCCTCCTCCCTCGGGAGTCGGCTGCTTGCCTCGGACTATTTTCGGGCACGGCGGCGGGATCCTCATCCCCTCGATGGACCGATCTCCGCCTCCACTGATTAGGAGGCGGGGTTCCTTGCTGAATGATACCCTCCATGATTTTCTTCAGGTAGAACATTCCTCTGTGCTGTGAGTATAAGATTTATGATAACGACAATACTTAGAGGTCTTACCCATTTCTTCGTTCGTCGGGCGATCGTCAGTCGGCGGAGGCAGAGGCGGGGCGACCGTTTGTATCTCATGGACCGGACGTTCGGGAATCGCCGATAAGCGTGGACGACGGTCTGTCGTATGGCCCGTCTGACCTCGGGTCGCCGAGTCACGTCCGGGCGCCTTTCTTTGGTTTCCGCTCGCGTCCTCTTCCCGCTGGCGGATCCGCCGACTTCGCGCTGTCGCTTGTACTTCATAGCCTGCTCTGTGTTGGCCCTCTTGTTGGCCATATGAATGGCCTCTGCGTAGGTGGCCAGACGATTGTCCCTCAGGTCTCGGTACAGCTGGCCGGACCGCAGCGACTCGATGAAGAAGGTGAGCGCCGTCTAGTCCTCGACCTCTTCTATGGACTGGATTTCTTTCTGCCAGCGGGCCAGATAGGTTTTCAAGGACTCGCCTTCGTCTTGACGAATGTCACCCAAGTGTGTTAGGTCCTTTTGTGGCTTGATATTAGCGGCGTAATGGCTCATGAAGCGGTCTGCCAGCTCTTCAAAGTTGTGAATCGATCCCGAGGGCTGTGCACTAGCCACCTTTGTGCTGACCCTTTCAACGTGAGCAAGAAGGCGAGGCACATGACCGGATCTCGTACCCCCAAAACCTGCATCTTAGCCTGGTAGCTCAGCAAATGCTCCCGGGAATCGCCGGTTCCATCGAACGTGGCCTGCTCCGGGAACTTGAAATCACCAGGTATTTTAAAAGCCATAACCTCATCCGAGAAGGGTAAGGCGGTCAGTAACGTACGTCCTGGGGACTTGGTTTTCCCCTCCATCTGTTCTTTCAGATTTCGCACTTCTTGCACTAAGTTCGCCACTTCGACCCTCTCCCGGGTGCGATTTCCTGTGGATTCCGTGCTCTCGCCGATTTCAGACTCAGCCGGTTGGTTGGGGTTGCGTGGAGGTTGCTCCACGCGACGAGTCTCAGTCCTGGCTCTTTTGGTACGGTTCTTCTCTCGTGCAGCTTGTCGATGGCGAGCGGCTAACGGGGCATGACTGAGTTCCATCCGACCCAATCGTTCTCTTGCCGACCGACGCCCAACGCTGGGACCCAGCCGAGAATGAACGGACTGTACCGGTTGGCTTTCGGCCCGTCGGCTCTGTTGCTGGTTGTCGGGCCTATGAAGCGGCTGTAACTCGTGTTGCGGCTGGCGAGTGATGGACTGTTCTCTCACTCCTAGGCTTGCTTCGGCACAAGCGCGTCCGATTGCACGCAGCTCTAGGGTGAGCAGCACTTGGGGCAATTGTTGGTTTATCGGTGGTGTCGGCGGCGGTGTTGTCTCGTTTTCCCGGCTCCGGGCATTTCTCCGATTCAGCTGGCTTCTCAGGTCTGCTTCCCGTCCATTGTTATGACGGCTCGATTGTTCTTCACTTCCTGCCATGTCTAGAACTTTTCTAATTCGACTGGGATTCTAATCGTTGTTCCTCGGACTCGCCTCACTCAAGAGGACACGTGACTCTTAGTTTCGATCCCCACAGACGATGCCAGTGATGGTTTTAGGGTTTTCGGGCCCAAGGAGGTCCAACACAACCTTCGGCTGGTGGGTGCACCTTTCGATAAAGTGTATGTCTATTTCGGAGATTATGCTAGTACTCGGAACTCTTTTGGTATTCTCCCCTCTTTGGGTGTTCAATTGTCCCCCCTTTTACAAGAATGGAGGAGCCTTTATATAGTGGCTCCCCCTCTACCGACTTGAAGGCCTTTGATGGCCGACTTCATGGCTAATTAAGATACGGAGCCGTTGGATGCCATTACTCGGTCGACCAACGGCTCTCCCAGGCTTGTAACGGCCTGACCGTGTCCGGCTTTCAATGTCTCAACGGCTCCCTTTTTAAACGAGCCTCTTCAATGCTCTCAACGGCTCCTTGAGCCGACTCCTTGTCTCGGCCTAAGCTCCTACTGGACTCCTCTTGGCAGCTCGGAACTGGGCCCCATGCTTAGGCCTGGGCCGACTCCCAGACTCGGCCCAATTGTTCTTCGGGCTCCTCTCGACGCTGGCCCACTTCTCCTATCTATTTTCTTTGGGCCCCTATACCTTGGGCCGGGGTCCTCACCCCATCAATAATAATAATAATAATAATAATAATAATAATAATAATAATAATAATAATAATAATAATAACAATAACAATAATAATAACAATAATAATAATAATAACAATAATAATAATAACAATAATAATAATAATAATAATAATAATCTATATCTATATATATATAAAAGCAACAAGATTTCAGCCAATCAAATGGCTCCATTTTCCCGCCCACTAAAAACTACACCATTTTAGAGGTCAAATTTTTTTATTTTATTTTTCCTCAAATCTAGCTAATGTCCCGCCTGTTTTCAACTTAAATTTGTATTCCAAATCAAAATATTAGATTTACGTGTGATTGTAGGCTAATATTTAGGATGTTGGCCTATTCTAGAGTTTGTAGATATATGGTCTCTTGATAGTTTGCGTGTCTTCTAAGTCTTTAGGGGTATGGGATGACTGTGATGTCTATACATTTTTTAATATAATAATATGTAAAGGTTATCATCTCTGCGGCTATATATACATACAGATTGAGACATGTTCTACCACCAATCGAAGAGTAAAGGAAAACGAAATAGAATTCAAGTTCCAGTAAGCGATCCCGCCCACTAAAGCGATTGTAATTCCAGTAAGCAACTCTACAGGATGTCTGGCCAGGGCCAATTCATTGTTGGTGCAAACCTCCATCCACAGCTAACTACCAAGGCTATTAGGCTCCGTTGTGTAAGGAACTATGTTGTCACTGAAAGAAAGGGAGAAAACAACATAAGAAGTCAAGAATGTGTATTTCATGATCAAGAGGTGTGTTATTCCTACATTAGCTACTTCAATTTTTTTTTCTCTCCCTCTTTAACTGTTTCTAGGTTGTTCTAACTATGTGGTTTGGGTTGTTTTGAAATGTAGGGTGTGTTTATCCACGTACACATACCTAAGGACATTGTTTGCAAATACAAGAATGAATTCAAGGAGGGGAATGTTTATGGGATTAGGAATTTCCTTTGTATTACTAACTTTTTCAAATACAAAACAAGCACTTTGCGTTATATGATCAAGTTTAAGCATGACACCATTGTGAAGCACTATAAGCGTATCACTTTCCCTAAAACTCTGTTTCGGTTCAAGACTTTCCCTGCCATACTTTCAAAACAAGATGTTGATGAGAAAGTGTTGATGGGTAAGGGTTTGATAATCAAAACTTTACTCTTGAAATTGTTTGTTTAAAATAATCAAACAAAAGTTTGACATACTGTGTTATTAACGTAGTCCTATGTTTTTAGATGTGATTGGTCGAATTGTTGAGATTTATTCCCCACTAGAGAAGGTAATATGTGGCAGAAAAACTAGGCTCATAGACTTTGTGCTTGAAGATATGAGGTAATTTTTGTTTCTCTATTTTGGTTCTATATATTACAAGAACTTACAGCTATATTACAAGCTAAATATATGTTTTCCAATTATGTGTGCAGTAAAAATTAGATTAAGTGCACACTTTGGGATGACCATGTGGATCAACTTATTCCTTATTTCAATACAAATGTTGCTGATCCAGTGGTACTTTTGATCCAACTCTGCAGGGCAAAGTTTATGGACAGTAAGTTACACTAGCTCTTTATTGCACACATAATTCCTTTACTTATTTAATCTTTTATGTTTGCCAGATGGTGAAGTGCGCATTTGTAGCTCTTTTGATGCAACTCAGTTGTTTTTCTCTCACCCCTGTAAGGAGTTTGTTGCACTGAAGAGCAGGTCAGTGTACCTATAAAATCTTTCCAAATTTTATCTTTGTTTTTTAATTAATCACTAAATGTTCTGTTGTTGTGTTCTTTTAGTAGCTTCACAGCTGACTCTACCCCATTGAGGTGTATTGATTCCTCATCTATGCTTGGTGTTGGTTTTCCTACTGGTGGTGGTCCTTCTAAGCAAGTGGTGGTCAGTTCTATTGAGGAGATTTACAGCAAAAAACATGTAATCTTTGGTTTTATCGTTATAATCTATTTTTGTGTCTATGTATTTATCTAAACTGTAAAATTAGGTTATTATATATTGCATAAATTATTTATGTTTCTGTTTCTATGTTTATGTTTCTGTTTCTATTTCTATGATTTATGTTTCTGTTTCTATTTATAATTCTATTTATGTTTCTAGGTCAGTGTACTCATGTAAAATGAACTATGTTTCTGTTTCTATTTCTATTTCATAAATTATTTGGTTATTAGATTTCTATTTCTGCTTCCACAATATATATAGATTTCTGCTTTACATGTGAAAACATATATCTATTAAACTTTTATGAATTCTATTTGTTTGAATTATTTTCTGCAAACAAATGTAATGCATTTAAAACCTAAAAAAAAAACTTAAAAAAAAAAACAAATCCAGAGACAGGTTGTAGTCTACTGACTGCCTGCATTAAAGGAATAAGAAAGAATAATAAGATAGTACTTGCAGATTTCATATTGTTATGATAAGAAATAAGAATAAGAAAATGGCTTGATGGTAAAGATCTAGAGTTCAAATGTTATAACCTATGATTTTATCCTTATATAATCTATTTATGTTTGGTTATAGTTACGTAAACTATAAAATAGGTAACTGTAGATGGAAGATTTTAACAATTTTTTAGTTTAACATATATGCCTTCGAGTAACTATAGGTTTATTGTGTTTTCCTGACCAGTTGGGGGAGTATTGGGTAGCCGGTCGAATTGTTGGTGTTGAGAGTCTATGTGATTGGTACTATATTTCTTGCAAGACTAATTCTTGCAAGAAAAAGCTCTCTGAAAGTGGTGGAATGCTCTATTGTGCTGGGTGTAAGAACTATTGGCAAGAAGGAGTTGTGAGGTATAGACTGATAGTTCGTGTTGCGGATGATACTGGAGATGCTCCTATGCTTATATGGGATCGTGAATGTGCTGAATTGGTTGGTATGGTAGCTGGTGATTTAAAGGATAGCTATCCTGGGGTATGTAATTTTTTATTAAAATCTTCTTAGTTGATTTTTTATGCTAAAATCTTTACACGTTAGGTCTACTTTAATTTTCCTAGGGTAATAACTCTATTCCACCGGAGCTAGGACGTTTACGTGGGATGTCTATGCTATTCCGCATAGCTATGAAGAAGGACCAAGTAGATAATTATTTCTCTGCGTTCACTGTGCTCAGTCTTTGTAGGGATGAGGCAGTGCTTACACAGCACTGCTCAGGTTTGTTAGGTTGCAGCCAATCTGAGATGGTGTCAACTGAGATAGGTGGTTCTTTGGATGTTGGGAAAAGCTGTGAGGTACATATCTGAAATAGAAGCTGAATTTATTTGTAATTTACAAACATTTAGTACCTAATTGTTAAGGATGTTTTTTTCAACTTGCAGGTGTTTGTGAGTGATGATGAAGACTGTGTTGTGGTGGATGGTGTGTCTGAAGACTTTGAGCACACTACAAGAAAAATGCACATAGACAACACTAGAAAGACAACAGTTTTTAAGAAAAGTGTTGTCTTTTGTATAAAAGACAACAGTTTGGTCCAAAACCGTTGTCTTTGATGCAACACTTTTGTCAAAGACAACGGTTTTTACTTAACCGTTGTTGTAAGTGTGTTGTCTTTGTGCATTTTGTGAAAAGACAACACCACAACGACAACGGTTTTTTAAACCGTTGTCTATGTGCGTTTTTTTTTTTTTTAAAAGACAACGGTTTTTTTAACCGTTGTCGTTGGTGTGTTGTCTTTAAGCGCACTGGAATACACAACACTAGAAAGACAACGGTTTTTTAAAACCGTTGTCTTTGTGCGCTCTTTTTTTAAAAAAGACAACGGTTTTATTTAACCATTGTCATTGGTGTGTTGTCTTTAAGTGTACTCGAATACACAACACTACAAAGACAACGGTTTTTAAAAACCGTTGTCTTTGCACGCTCTTTTTTATTTAAAGGACAACGGTTTTTTTACCGTTGTTGTTGGTGTGTTGTCTTTAAGCGCACTAGAATACACAACACTACAAAGACAACGGTTTTTTAAAACCGTTGTCGTTGCGCGTTCTTTATTTGTTTAAGACAACGGTTTTATTTAACCGTTGTCTTTAAAATATAAAAAAAGATGTTAACATCTTATGTATGAATGTGCAACATCTGGTATATAACTGGGTTGCTTCTGTGTTAGGATGCCCGCAGGAAAAATAGAACCTGAGACCTCTAACATAATAAACTCTAAACCCACCAAGCTACACCAACACTTATATATTTAAGCGTAACATCTAGGATATAACCAGTTTGCTTCTGTGTTGTCTCTGAGAACAAAGACAATGATTGTATAAAATAGGTTAAAGATGCTACCAGGAAGGATAGAACCCAAAACCTCTAACATAACAAACAAAACTAAACCCACCAAACCACACCAACCTTTGTTTACTAAAGTGTTACACCTTATCTTTTACTTATAATTTTGGGCTGGCAGCTTTGACCTCCGGGCATTTGAACAAAGAAAGAATACAATTCAAAAGTTAATTTAATAATTATATTTTCGTTCATATTTAAATATAAAATTATTCACCAAAATTTCAATTTTAATTAATTAAAGTTTTATTTTCAATTACAATTAAGACCAATCTATGAATTCAAATAATAATAATAATAATTATTATCAAGTATAAAAAATAATAGATTATATCTATAATATTTTTTTAAAAAAATTGGGGGCCCTGTGCGGTCGCGCCGGTCCGACATGGCCTAGTACGGCCCCGGCGGTGCGGTGTGGTGTTCCGAATGGTGCGGTATGGTGTGGATCGGCGTAAGGGCGGTATGATAGGGGCCTAGGTTGGTAATCGATCCTTTCGGCTAGCGCATGACTAACAAGGTTAGCTATATGTTGGTAATCAACCATTCCGGCATGCATGGGACACGTGGAGAATGGATATGAAAGAGTAGTTGATATTGTACAGTTAGTTATAGCCCATTTCTTTTGCCGCGATCTTTGTAATAATTGGGCCGCCATCTGTCTAGGTAATAAAGGACAAATTATGATGTGCAACTGTGTGCACCATGGTGCACACTGTTCTATGTTCATAATTACCGAACTATATATTCATAATTTTTGAAATTCATATTCATAATGATTGAACTCTATATATATTCACAATTACAGAACTCTATGTTCATAATTTTCGATATTCATATTACCAAATGTTGAACTCTGTATTCACAAATCACAAAACTTTAGTATAGAAATTATGAATCTACAATATAAAAATTTTGAATATTTACACTACAAAAAAAAAAAAAAAAAAAAAACAATTTTTAGTGACAAAAATTTAGTGATGGGTAGAAAAACCCCTCACTAAATGTATTATTTGTATAATTTTTGTGAAAGTAAAAAATTACTCTAATTAAAAGTTTATGATTTAGTGACAAAATTTTAATTATATATTTATTTTAAAAGTATACTCTGACTATTGACATGAAAGATATTGTTACCATCATCATTATCTGAAAATTATTTCACTCAAATCTCATTCCCACCAAAACCTTATTTTTAGGCGCCCAAGTCTAATTGCTTCTAAAACACTAGTACAAAATTGAACATACCACCGGCTTCGCACCCATCGCACAACTACCACCGGCTTCACGTCACACCCACCACCGTTCACAGCCACCGCGACAAAGCCACAGCCACCACCGCGACGCCGACGCCACAGCCGCTGCCACGCCGTTGATCTGAACCCCTCCCTTGCCCTGCGACGATGGCGGCCTCCCTGTGACGACGCCACAGCCGCCGGCTCCGATGTGAGTTTGTGAGAAATTTTAATTTATTGATTTCCTCTTGCCTATAAATAATTAACCATTCGCCTCTGCATAGTGTTCATGTATATTGTTATGTTATTTCATATTGTTAATAGTTCTTCAATATTTTCACTCTATTTTCCTCGTTTTCTCGTATGTATATTTAGGTTTTTTTTTTTCTTCTATTTGCTTGATTTTGTTTCTACTATTGCAATGATTTTATGGTATACAAGAGTGATTTCCGCAAGAATTACAAGGAGAATTTTCCTGATAACAAATCTATGGCCATTGTGAGATTTCTTAAAGCATTGCATTTAAGTTATTCTTAATACTAATTGCATAGTTGTTTGGATGATACGATCATAATGTTATTATTATTTTAAGCATTATCACTATTGTGTTTTTGTATATTAAAATTGAACCAAAGCTTCAATTGATAGATTATTTCCTGTTTAATTTCATTTAAGGTTGGGAAAGCTGGTGGTGAGAAATGGAAGGCAATGTCTGACTCTGTGAGCTCTGATCTTCTGCTTTAGAGTTATTATTAAGTTTGTGTATTTAAATTTGAATTAAATTGCTCGATACATCTGTCACACGTTTGCTATATGGACTCTACTGTTAGGAGAAAGCTCCATATGTGGCAAAGGCATCACCTTTGAAGTCTGAGTATGAGAAAGCTATGCAAGAGTTCAAGAAAAATGTCTCTGTAATTCTCTTTGAAATTGATCACTTTTGATATTTTCCTTATTTCACATCATTATTACATTACTTTTTGCTATGATTTTCCGCTAATGGCTTTTTAAATTATCCTCTACTTCTCTATTGTAGAAGAGTAGCAGCTCAGAAGCAACCGTGTCTGAAGAATCTGAGCAGACTTCTGAGGTGAAAGACAACTCTGAGCATGAAGCAAGCTGTTAGGTCTGTTGCAACAAAGTTTCCTTTACTGTAGGGTTTGGTATTTCAATTGTTTCACAATTCAGACTAATTCCTCATGATATAGTCTACCGTTTGCATGTTAATGAGTGTAGTACTTAGATGGTTTTCATACTTCTGTTGAATACATACTTGACAAGAATGTATCTACACATATATATACTTTCTATTATGAGAATGCAAACATGTCATCATATTATTAAGATGTGTGGACAATATCAATCTTGAAATGTTTTCCCTCAACCTTTAGAGCAGCTTTGGTGGTGCTACATCTTATTATATACTCACAGGATTCCAGAATTTCCCCCGGTTACTTGTCTGTACTTATATTGTAACTTGTAAATGCTCCGTAACTATTTTCTATATATCAGATTTGAAGATCTGAAGGACCAATTAAGAATGCGTTTATTGAAGAAGCGCAAAGTTAAAAGAATCCAGTTTGTAATTACAAATGGGGGTTTATCTATAGAATTGAATACATATGCTTTAATCCGTCCAACCAATCCAGGTCTGATTTTATTTCTTCATAGTTTCGTGAACCAAATATCTTCAAGATAATTGATAACTAATTTATTTTCTTCTTTCTCAGGGACTATTACTTGGCTTGATTCTGTCTCTAACCTTCCTATAAAGGTAATCAATCTTAATGTCTTCTATTCTCACAAACAAGAATACAAGATAAAACTTTAGCCTTGAGATGATGGTTTTAAATGAATCAAAATGAACAGCAGTCTCTGGACAGGGTAAACTAAGTGGAATTTAATAAAGTTGTTGTTAATTGACTTCCTGTAGTCTGTCTTTGTTTACTTATGTGCAACTGGGCAAGATAGAACAAATCTTACTTAAGTGACTACTGATCATTCACGTGTTCTCATATTCTACGTTTGATGTGATGAGCATTACTAGTTTGCTAACAAATTAATACTCAAATTTTTAATTACTTGGTGACTTCATTTAACAATGATCTATAGGTCTGTTGATCTCATGGTCTTACCAGTGAATGGTGACATTGTATTATGTCTAATTGATATCCTTGATCTCTAAGGTATCACCATTGTTCACTTCGAAGGTTGGTCCAGGGAACTGTCCATTCACTGTTATTGTGTTATGGGTATTGCACGACCTCTTCACTGGTGTTGCTTGAATATGTTTCACAACTCTAATCAGTATCTTCCAGTTTATGAGAGCCAAATACAAACCAAATGAAAATGAAAAATTAAATACTGAGAAAAGAGAGCATTGTTAGGATCAAATTCTTACAACAAACTGGTGTTTGTGAACTTCAGCATTTGCCAAAGAAAATGCATTTGCATAGAGAACCAAAAGGCTAATGAACAAGAAAGGGTAGAGCGATTTAGCAATGCTGTGGCTGAATGCTTCCATGTTGCAATTCAGAGTTTATCAGGTATGGTAGATATATGTTTTATGCTTTTACTTGGTGAAGAGAAAAGTATCAAGGCCTTTCTTTTATACAGGGGATGAGGTTGGTAGATTTGGTTTCAGAATGATTGTCAGCTTAAAGGGCAGACTTAGTTCAACCCTATAGGAGCCGGTGCATCCACTAACCTATCAAACTACTAAATTCTCATAATACTTTGCTTCCATTAGATCTAATATAATCTGCCAGGTTCATAACTTTTGCATTTATGGAAATTTGTTGGCAGCATCTCTTTTGTTGTGGCTGGATTAGTTGATGAATGGGCTGCTCTCTTCTTTGAAGAGCTTGATTACATTAATGAGGGAGAAAATGTGACACTTTTTGTAGAGATTTTGAAGAAAGTATACTTCAAGGAGGTCACATATCTATGAGAAACATGTCTTTGTTAGTATCATGTACATCATGATACTAATTGAGAGGCATCACACATGGCTTAATGATGAGTTAACTACCAAAGTCAATGATCTCATAAACCTTCGTAAAACTCATTCCAAACTTGAGGCATATACATGTCTGTTAAACTTTCTGATGTACTTTCTGATGTAAGTTGGTATTGAAGAGCATGTCATGCCTACTATTTATTCTTTGGTTCACCCACACAACATCACTGATATGAATGTATTGACAAATTCAGGTAGAGAGGAAGTTCAGTGAAAGTTCTAGCTCTTTGACATGGTACACGGACAGAGTAAAGGAGCTGGATTTGAAGTTGGCATCCTTAGACTTGGTTCGTGAATTTTTTTTGTAGTATTATGACTTGGATGATATATGATTCGATTAGAATTGTTCATGGAAGTATTTAGACTTGTTAATTAGTTCTTTTGTAACTACACTTGGCCATGGTGAATGGATAAATTGATTTTTATATGATTAAAATTTCAGCAGGTTAAAAATAGTTAAAACCGTTTAGACAACGGTTAAAAACCGTTGTCTATTTTACAAAAGACAACAGTTTGAAACTGTTGTCTTTTATACAAAAGACAACACTTTATGAGTGTGACTTTTAACAATAGCGGTTTCAATAACACAATAGACAACAGTTTATAACTGTTGTTTTTTAAAGAAAAGACAACAGTTAAAAACCGTTGTCTATGTGCATCACTTTTAACAACACCGGTTTCAACAACATTGAATAGACAACGGGTCAAAAACTGTTGTCTTTGAAAGAAACGACAACGGTTTAAAACCGTTGTCTATGTACATGACTTTTAACAACACCGGTTTCAACAACACTCAATAGACAACGGTTCTTAAACCGTTGTTTTTTCTAGAAAAGACAACGGTTATTAACCGTTGTCTATGTGTGTGACTTACAACAACACCAGCTTCAACAACACTTAATAGACAACGGTTAAAAAACCGTTGTTGTTTCTAGAAAAGACAACGGTTATTAACCGTTGTCTATGTGCGTGACATACAACAACACCGGCTTCAACAACACTTAATAGACAACGGTTAAAAAACCGTTGTTGTTTCTAGAAAAGACAACGGTTATTAACCGTTGTCTATGTGCGTGACTTACAACAACACCGGCTTCAACAACACTTAATAGACAACGGTTAAAAAACCGTTGTTGTTTCTAGAAAAGACAACGGTTAAAAAACCGTTGTCTATGCGCGGGACTTACAACAACACCGGCTTCAACAACAGAAATTATACCCCTACGACAACGGTTATTAACCGTTGTCTATGTGCATTTTTCTTGTAGTGGCAGGAGCAATGTGCTGGGCTTGATGAAATCCCTGAGGATCTAGGTGCTAAGGTTGTAGCTGTTCCTCTTAAAAGATGTCTAATGAAAGACTTTGATGAGGCTGGGAGTTCAAAGAAACCTAAGGAGGTTGTTGTGAAGAAAGAAAAGTAATTTCGGTAGGAGTAAAGGCAATCTTTTGAAAATGGCTTGCACTAGGACTAAGTTCTATGTTTTTGTTATTCTGCCCTAATGTTTATTTTGCATGGGTCTGTTCTGATCACTGTAGTGATTGAACTCTAATCTTAAGGTTCAGCTAAATAGTATGCTGAATAGGTCTAGCAGGCTGGTTTTGTTTTTGGATTTTGAAAACTGGCTTTGTCTCAGTTGCAAGCTATTATTGAATTGTAATGTAATCCAATGCTAATTTGAATTCTATGTTTTCCTAGCCAAATAGACAGTATCTTCAGAGGCAACAAATCATCAACTGATAACTCTAAAAAAAAAAAACCCACTTTGAGAAAGAAGAAATTGTTAGCACTTTGAGAAAGAAGAAATTGTTAGCACTTTCATAAAAAAAACCCACTTTGAGAAAGAAGAAATTCTTAGACCTATAGTCATTACCCTGTAATATAGTTTGATATAGATTACAGAAACACATATATTACTCAACAAATGATAATAGACTAAGAACTCAGAAAAAAAAAAAAACATAAAGCACCTAAATTGCCATTCGCTATGAGACCAAATAGACATTATCTTCAGTTAGATATACATAACACATACACATATTAGTCAACAAATCATCATATACTAACATGTTGAAATAGAAAAAAGAAAAAAAAAAAAAAAAAAAAAAAAAAAAAAAAAAAAAAAAAAAGAGGCTAAATTTGAAAAAAAAAAAAAAAAACTCGAAAATGAATAAGTACTTGAAACATTTTACTAGATTTGATTATTAACTAATATCTTCGGTATGTGTTTAGTCTATTTTACTATGGTTATGCTTTTGAAACTGCATATGTAGCAGTGGCTAACCATTTCACATTGTAATGAATGGTTGCTAATGTACATAAAGGCTAACAGTTTTATATATATATATATATATATATAGGTGTGTGTGTGCGCGCGCGGCAAATAAAGCTATAATTAAACAAATTCTAATATAGGAGCACATTAAAAACACAAAGTCTAGCTTTTTTTCTTCAAAAATAAAATACTGCTAGCAAACACAAATTCTAGCAATATGGTTTTTGAGAAATGCCAACATGTGGTTCAAATTCATGATGTGAAATGATATATGTAAAAGTGTACAAAGAATTTTATTTCTAAAATCCAAAGAGGCAAAAACCTTACAAATAAATGCCTTAGGCCCAAAAGTGACCTAAGGCTCACAACAAGGCCTTAACATAGCCTATGTCTACCAAGGGAAGTGCACTCAGATTATATCAACAATTTGATACAATGGCAGATTAATTATCTAAGACAAAAAAGGGATTTTGATTTATAAACCGAATAATTATCAGGAAAAAAAAACTTTGTACTATTTCCAAGGAATTATATAAAGGAAAACAGTTAAGTATATATGTCAAATAAACCTATAATTAAAAAAAATTATAATATAGGAGCACATGAAAAAACATAAAGTGTGCCAGTATGGGTTTTGAGAAATCAGAAACACTAAAATGTGGTTCAAAATCATGATGTGGAATGATATATTAAAAATTGCACTCATATTATATGAACAAGTTGACACACTGACATCCATTAAAAATTGCATTCACATGCATTGCATTGCTGGTTTGGGAAAAAAAAAAAAAAAGGCATCACACTACTCTCTCATCACTTGCCTCTCATTTTAGATTGTTAGTATTTAATCAAATATATGTGTATAGATAATGAGTTTTCCTGTATTGTATTAGAATGCAAATACTACAGAAAAATGTCATAACAGTAGTTGAGTACAATACAAGTTACACAATAACCAATACACACAATAGTTTTCCCATACACATATCCCTAAACCTAGGCATTAATTGTTGATGGTAAGGGTTGACTCCTATGTTCTAATGTTTGATTGAGACTTCTTAACATCTATACAAGTTTCTATCTATATATACATACCATTTAACAAGCTACACAATTCACTCAACATTCATTCAAAAACAGAAACTTTGCAACTGTATATCTCAGAATTGCAACAACAATGAAAAAATTGAATGGCTCAACTATCATACGCGGGAAAAGAAAATTCGGTGTGGAAGATAAAGGTACAATTGAATCATACCTGTTTTTCGAGATTCAAATTGAATCATATCTGCTTCTCTGATTACCTTTACATTTTTTGCCATATCTGCTTCAAATCTACTCATTTGTCTCTTTTTTTGTTAGTCTACACACACAGTGTAATCCGAGCAGCCACCATTACTTGCCATTTTTTTGTGGACATCTGTATACAAATAATAATACAGATATTATATTCTGTATTTTAATTTTTAGATTATGATTTTTTAGGTAATTAAGAAAAACTGAACTTAATTGAAATCTAAAATCTTACATATTATGTAGATTGACACTCAAGATAGTCATAACACATCATTTTAAGAAAAATTAGACTCACTGGAAATCTAAAATCTCACATCTAAACTTTCAAGATTCATAGGTTGGTGTCTTACTATCCAATAATAATAATAATTTTTTGGACAGCTAATAGCAAACAAACATGACATAATTCAGATTCTGGAGTGGTAAGAAATGGAAAAAAATGTTCACATCTAAAGGATCATAGTTATGTGTTTATTTCTTGATATACTCATAGATTTCTACATCAAAAAATTATAACATGTATATAATCTTCCTAAAAACGAACATTACACATGCGTATAAACAGAAAAAATACTCTATAAGTGAAAATCGGGAAAATCGAACTATTACCTTACAAATGTCGTAGTTTTTGTTGGATATATAGTGTTGTTTGCTTTCTTCTAGATCTGTTCTCCAAAATCTTCAACCGATCCTTTTGTTGAGTGGTGTTTGATATACATGAGTTTGATGAAGACAAAGTTAGGGTTTTCTTCCGTGCAACCGGTCACGAGTTGTGAACAGATTAGATCGAAGGTCAGAGGTAGAAAGGGAATGGTGAAAATAGCGAGTTTCAGAGACTAGGAGAAGGATTACAGATTAAGCAACCAATATGTCGTGAAGTTTTCAGAATGGGTAGAGAAAGTTTAGAGAGAAACGGCATAAGCGAGAAGAGCGGATAGAATACAACAATGTCTGAATCTAGGTTTTTTGGGTTTTATGTGTGGGCCATAGGTCAAGTTTTGGGCTGGGCTAGATAAATAGAAGAGCTTATCTGGACCATGTATGAAAATTTAATTGTTAAATAATGGGCCTAAGAACGTGTTTTTGAAAATAATCCTGCCAGAAATAGGCCGATGCTTAGGAATATGGCAAATTATTGTATGGACCATGGTCCACACAATGTTATGTGAACCATAATAAAAAGTACAATTTTAATATATTAAATGTACATTATTTTTGTATTGAATGTACATTATACAATATAATGTACACTCAGAATAAAAATAATGTATATCTCCTGAATACAATGTACATTATTTTTGTACTGAATGTACATTATATTTGTACTGAATGTACATTATTTTACAGAAGACAAAATATGATCCACACAACTTGTGTGGACCATGGTCCACACAATAATGATTGTAGGAATATATATTGTTAATTTAATTATCCCCTTCTTATAAATTGTTTATGAATTAATAGTTTTATTTTAACTATATTACTTAATTAAATATTACTTATATTGAATTGATTTAGAAAATTGTGATGATGAAGAGGTTTCTTGATTCCACAAAGGTATTGATTCTATGGTTGTCATTGACCCCATCAGATCCAATGTTACCATTTAAGTTTCAGTGGAGACACTTTTCACTAATGTTGTCGTATGCTATGACAATTAACAAGAGTCAAGGACAAACGCTTTTTACTATTGGGCTATTATTGAAAAATTAGCAATTCAAATGGTCGTAAATTACAATGGTGAATATGTTTTTTCAACGTCAAATGTTGTATATAAAGAGGTGTTTTATAATATATAAACTTTGTATGTTATTACTTTTTTGTTTCATACATTTTTATATATTAAAACCAATCATTTTTTTAAATGTTAAACAAATCAAACATTGTTTGAGTTTTGCTATTATCAACAATTGTTTTATTTTCATATATATATATATATATATATATATATATATATATATACACACTTCATATTTTGTCCGTGCATCGCACGCTTTAGTTTAAAAAAATGTACTTGAATTGAGTATACTATCATATTTTTATTGTATTTAGAATTTAGTTATTTTTTTATTGATAATAAAGATTTAGAATTTAATAAAGATTTGATCTTATTATTTAGGATTTGATATATATATATATATATATATATATATATATATATATATATATATATATATATATTATACTTTGTCCGTGTAGTCCTCTATATATTGTTGTCCTCATTTAAACTAAACCCGTTTCCAGTTAATAATAATGGTACTTATAATTGAAATGTAGATTATAATTAATATTTTTTTTTTGCCTTTTATTGTATAATATAATAATAATGTATGTTATATATTGTGTACATATTATTTTGCATATTTTCATTCAATTTCACATTCACACCTTATTGATGAATATTTCATGTAAAGATACAAAAATTCTTATTGCTATAAGTGATCATGAATGTTCTGATGTTTTATAAAATAAATAAATAATTAATACTGATTAATAATTTAATAATAATAATAATAATAATAATAATAATAATAATATTATTATTATTATTATTATTATTATTATTATTATTATTATTATTATTATTATTATTATTATTATTATTATTATTATTAGAACAAAGATTACTACGTATCATCGTATTAATAATAATAAAAATAAATTTTAGTGATAGTATAATTAATAATTTGTAAAAGGTAAATAAAATATTATCATTACTTAATAGTTTTAAGCAATTTATACCATGGAGCTTCCATATAGCATTGCTAATTGTATACTAAAATGACGATATATATAATTCATACTCATAAGGTACATAATTTAATAACATTAAAATATATTTTAATAAGTATGAACATTATTTATGTATGATTTTCCTTTACTGCTCCAAATTTTAAATATATTTCATTGGAGTGGAAGAATTAATTTCTGTTTGTATAGATTACATATATTAGTTTCTATGCAAAGTATTAAATTCTATAAATACTAAATAAATTTTCTTAATATAGATGTTGTATATAATATTATGCATTTGTATTTTCAAAATGCAATGGTTTGATATAATAATTAATTTGAATTCATATTTATGTTTACAAAATCAGAGAATGTACCACCGAGTTGTGTTGAGTTTGGGTCTCTCATCGTCTCAGATGTTGCACCGAGCTCAAGTAGTATTAATGGTTCTACTATTCAATATGAGAAAACAGACCCAGTGATAATAGGTATTTGTTACTTTGTGTTATTGTAAAGTATAATTTATGATATATTTTAATATGTAAAATATAAATATTGTAATATTTTTTGTATTATATTAAATTATTTTTTTGTATATGTATGTTTATGTGTTTGTATTTATTTGTTTAAATTTTTAGGTGATCAAACCAATTTGAATGTGCTATCTATGGGTATTCAAAGTTCATGTTTCGCTAATCAAGGTTAGATTGTGTGTTAGAAAATAGAAAATTGTCTTTTATTAATTTAAATTTTCTTTCATTCCATTTTTTTGCCCGTAATGATTTAATCTTTACTTTTATTGTAGTCTCATATTATGACATAGGAGATCCCCTTTTTAATTGCAACCATTGTGGTGCATTCTTTTGGATGGATGAGAAATTGAAGAGTACCAAAGTTAATGTTGGCCCAAGATATTCGGTTTGTTGTTCTAATGGCAAAATTAAGTTACCTAAATTGAATGTTCCACCTAAAATCATTCTTGATTTATTTTTCAATCCATGTCCAAGAAGCAAGCATTTTTTGCAACATATCCGATCGTACAATAACATGTTTAGTTTCACATCTATGGGTGGTCGTATTGATAAAGAAGTGAATACAGGGAGGTCACCTCCAGTTTTTAGATTGAACGGCCAGAACTTTCATTTATTGGGCAGTCTGTTACCTGTTGATGGCAATAAACCTAAGTTCGCACAGCTTTATATCCACGATGCCGAGAATGAGATTTTCAATCGTTTGAACTCTGTTAGGTACAGTATTTGCATTCAAAAAATGTGTTTAGATATACACACATCTACAGACGAACACATTGAGACATGCGTCCACACACACACACACATAGAGAGAGAGATAAGTATAAGTAATTTTTATTAATTGTTTATTGTAGGGGTGGTAATGAGATCAAAGAATTACATGAAGACATTGTTTCTGATATTCAGTTAGCACTGGATGAGAATAATGTTTTGGTTAAGTCATTTCGAATGGCTAGAGATGTAATAGTCACAAATTCAAGAGTTGATGTCAGAATGAAATTAATTGGGAAACGCAACCAGGATGCTAAAACATACAATCTGCCTACAGTCTCTGAGGTTGCTGCTATAGTTGTTGGTGATTTGGATCCAATGTTGGGTGAACGAGATATATTGATAGAAAGTAAATCAGGTGTTCTTAAGAGAATTAGTGAACTTAATCCAGCATATCTCCCACTACAATATCCAATTTTGTTTCCATACGGTGAAGATGGTTATAGAGAGGATATTCATTTCCATGTTGAAAGAAATATTGAGAATGGAGCTAGGCATAGTGTTTCTCTTCGTGAATACCTATCATTTCGTATTCATGAACGAGTTAATGAGATTTCAACATTTTTGTATGCTAGAAGGTTATTTCAACAATTTTTAGTTGATGGGTATACAATGGTGGAATCTGGTCGGTTGTTGTATATTCGGACACATCAACAGAGCCTACGATGTGGATCATATAAAGGGTTGTTTGACGCGTTGACACGTGGGGAAGTTGAACCTGGGACTCAGGGGCGACGGATTGTATTGCCTTCTACCTTTACTGGTGGTGCACGATATATGGTTCAAAATTACCAAGATGCAATGGCAATTTGTGGTTGGATTGGTTATCCAAATATATTCATCACATTTACATGTAATCCCAAGTGGCCAGAAATTCAACGTTTTTTGGAACGAAGGGATTTGAAATCTGAAGATCGACCAGATATTATGTGTCGTGTATTTAAAATGAAATTAGATGCTTTGATTAAAGAACTACGGTCTGGTACTATTTTTGGGAAAATTGTCGCTGGTATGTGTTCGTAAAATTGCTTTAATATGTTTTTTATCTTTATGGCGTTTGCTGATCTACTTATGTAATTTCTATTTTTTGCAGTCATCTATACAGTGGAATTCCAAAAGCGAGGCTTGCCGCATGCACATATTCTTCTCTTTGTTGACCGTGGTGCTGCTCTTAATTTTGCCTCGAATGTTGATTCTATCATCTCTGCAGAAATTCCAAATAAGGCTTACGATCCGGAATATTATAAAGTTGTGGGAGAGTTTATGATGCATGGTCCATGTGGTGTAGCAAACAAAAACTCTCCATGTATGGTTAAGGGGCGTTGTTCTAAACACTTTCCTAAGAAATTTATGGAATCGTCAATTCTTGATGGTGATGGGTATCCAATTTATAAGCGTAGAGATGATGGTAATACAATCCTTAAAAGTGGTGTTGAATTGGATAATAGATTTGTTGTACCCCACAATAGATATTTATTGATGAAGTATAGAGCACACATCAATGTAGAATGGTGTAGCCAATCTCGGTCGATCAAGTATTTGTTTAAATATGTGAACAAAGGTCATGATCGAGTTACAGCCCAGTTTTATAAGAGCACTGATTGTCACGAAAGTACTGAAGTTATAGATGAAATAAGTATGTACTATGATTGTCGGTACATTTCTCCTTGCGAGGCTGCATGGCGTTTGTTTAGCTATGATATTCAGTTCCGCAATCCAGCAGTTGAACGCTTGAGCTTCCACTTGCCAAATGAACAAAACATTGTTTTTGCTGACGATGCTACTGTAGAATCAGTTCTTGATAGGCAAACGGTGAAGAATAGCATGTTTTTGGCTTGGTTTGAAGCGAATAGGAGGTACCCCTATGCGCGACAATTGACTTACAAAGATATGCCTAACGCTTTTGTGAGGAAAAAAAACATCCGTGAGTGGCAACCAAGGCAGAGGGGTTTTGCAATAGGTCGTATGTTTTATGTGCCACCTGGTAGTGGTGAAATTTTCTATCTTAGGTGTTTGTTAAATTTAATTCGTGGCCCAAGATCTTTTCAAGACATACGTACTGTTGATGGTATTGAATACTCATCTTTTCGAGATGCGTGTTATGCTCGTGGGTTGATATCTGACGAAAAGGAATATATTGATGCAATAGTCGAAGCAAGTCAATGGTCGACTGCTTCTACTCTCAGGAGGTTATTTGTTATTCTACTAACATCAAGTTCACTTTCCCATCCTGAGAAGGTTTGGGACGTTGTTTGGCCGCACTTGTGTGACGACGCAGAGTATAATCAGCGCAGAGTGTCTGCTATTCCAGGTAAAATGTCGCTACTTATGTACATAACTTAATTTTCTATAGTGCATATCATATTTTGTTTCCTACATTTTATATTTTTTTCCAAAATTTTGATAATGTGAAACATAGTGCAGATTTGAGGTTGCCAGATGTTGAGAAACAAAACTACGGGCTGGTTGAATTAGAGAAGCTTTTGTCCGCATGGAGCAAGCGCTTGAGTGATTATCCGTGTATGCCTATACCTGACATGAGTTCTTCAAATGCATCCCAGAACCGATTATTGGCTGAGGAATTGTCCTATGATTGCACGTTATTGGGTAAAGAACACGAGGCGTTGGTGCAGAAACTAACAGATGAACAACGACAAGTTTACGACACTGTCCTTACTTCAATTTCCAGTAATACAGGGGGGCTGTTTTTCGTCTATGGTTATGGTGGTACTGGGAAAACATTTGTATGGCAAACTTTATCCGCGGCATTACGATCAAAGCGTAAAATTGTTTTAAATGTTGCATCAAGTGGAATTGCTTCGTTATCATGTCTGGTGGGCGCACTGCACACTCTCGATTTGCTATACCAATTGTTGTGAATGAGGATTCTACTTGCAATATATCGCAGGGGAGTGATCTAGCTGAGTTACTAATTCAATGCAGCTTGATTATCTGGGACGAAGCACCTATTATGCATAAGCATTGCTTTGAAGCTTTAGATAGGACTATGCGAGATTTGTTAAGATTTGCTAATCCATTAAGTTTAACCTTGCCATTTGGAGGGAAAACTGTTGTTCTGGGGGGTGACTTTAGGCAAATATTGCCAGTGATACCAAGGGGTACTAGACAAGAAGTTGTTGGTGCAAGCATTAATTCTTCTTATTTATGGACTCATTGTAGGGTATTGAGATTGACAAAGAATTTGAGGCTACAAAACGTAGGATCTGTTGAAGAAAATAAAGAGTTGTGTGGTTTTGCTAATTGGATTGCTGCGATAGGGGATGGACAAGTTGGTGGACCAAACGATGGTCATGCAGAGGTTCAAATTCCACACAAACATGTCCTAAAGCCAGATTGTGATCCGATTCAGGGCATTGTGCAAAGTACATTTCCTATGTTCCATGAGAATCAGAGTAACGGCACTTATCTCATTGGTCGAGCAATTCTAGCACCAACACTTGAGGTTGTTGACGAAGTTAACGATTACATGAGTAGTTTGAACGCTGCAGAATGTAGAACATATTACAGTTCTGATTCTGCATGCCCCATTGAAAACACACTCGATGCAGTTGCCGCACTACACACCCCAGAGTTATTAAATGGCTTGAAATGTTCTGGCTTGCCTAATCATTCACTAACTTTAAAGGTTGGATCTCCCATCATGTTATTGCGAAATATAGATCATTCAGCTGGATTATGCAATGGGACAAGGTTAATCATTTCGAAGTTAGCAGATCACGTTGTTGAAGCCACAATACTTTTTGGAACTAACGCAGGTATGAAGGTCTTGATTCCACGATTGTCGCTTACACCGTCAGACCTAAGGTTACCATTTAAGTTTCAACGAAGACAATTCCCAGTAATGTTGTCTTATGCTATGACAATAAACAAGAGCCAAGGCCAAACGCTTTCTACAGTTGGACTATTGTTGAAAAAACCAGTTTTTGTTCATGGACAACTGTATGTTGCTTTGTCTAGAGTTAGCAATCCCAATGGTCTTAAGTTACTTATTTGTAACGACAATGGAGAGTATATTTCTTCAACGTCAAATGTTGTATACAAAGAGGTCTTTAATAATCTATAAAACTATTATATTATTAATTGTTTGTTATTTACAATATATTATTAATATTTGATTTTATAGTTTGGATGTTATAAATAAGTACACTATTCTCATATATATATATATATATATATATATATATATATATATATATATATATATATATATATATTCACACCGTGCAACGCACGGGTGGAGTACTAGTAATAATAATAATAATAATAATAACAATAATAATAATAATAATAATAATAATAATAATAATATGGCATGCATATTATATTATTCCATCAAGTATATTATGTGTCTTCAAGTTTTTTATATGCACATCATAAGTTAATTGTAGACATATAATTTAGATCAGAATTCACAATGTAAGGTAAACGTTGGTTCATAGTATAACAATTGCCAAAGTTTAATAGTTATACAAATGTCTTTGTGCAATCGTTATGCTGTGGAACCGTGTCCACCTTGCGAGGTGGATACGGTTCTATGTTCATAATTACTGATCTATATGTTCACAATTATAAAGTTATATATTCATAATTTTTGAACTTCATATTCATAATTATTGAACTCTATATTCACAATTATAGAACTCTATATTCATAATTACTGAACTATATGTTCATAATTATAAAGCTATATATTCATAATTTTTGAACGTCATATTCACAATTATAAAGCTCTATATTCATAATTACAAAACTATATGTTCATAATTATGTTCACAATTCTATGTTCATAATTATAGAACTATATATTCATAATTTTTGAACTATATATTTATTATTATGAACAATTTTGAAACCGTGTCCACCTTGCAAGGTGGACACGGTTCCACAGCATAATTTGTCGTTAATCCAGACCCAATATCTGGGCAATTTATATCCTGCACCACGGCGCACGTTGCATTGTGCGTCCAGATGCAAAACGACATCGTTTCAGTTTTTTTTTTTTTTTTTTTGAAATTTCGCTACCCAGTGTTTGGCGGTTAATTTTCCTTTAAAAAAAATCTCATGTTCAAAAATGTACATAATGTTATACATGAATGTATATAATTGTATAACAAAATATACATACTGTTTTTTAAAAGATAATACACATAATCTAACATAATACATAATAAACATAAACTTTTAACATAATGCACATCAACTCTTGACATAATACACAAAAATTTCCTGATTCGGATGTACATAATTGTATAAAAAAATGTACATAATTGTATAAAAAATGTACATAATAAAAAATATACATAATTGTATGAACAAATATACATTCCTACCACGCCTGTCAAAACGACGTCGTTTTGGGAGGCGCGCGGTGCACAGTGCTACGCGCACCGTGGTGTAGGGTATAATGATTGCAATATCTGTTTCGCGGATAGTTATGCTGTGGGCTCGTGCCCAGCGTGCTTCATGGGCACGGATAACGGTGCCGTCAGGCACCGTTATCTTCCATTTTTTTTTTTTTTTAAATTTAATTTCAGACCGCTTCGTTATAGGAGCATATATTCACAGCTTTGTGTTCATAATTTCATAACTGTACATTCATAATTCCATAACTGTACATTCATAATTCTATAACTGTACATTCATAATTCCGTAACTGTACATTCATAATTCAATAACTGTAAATTCATAATTTTCGAAGCTCTATGTTCATAATTGTAAGTTCATAATGTCAGAGTTCTATGTTCATAATTTCATAACTGTACATTCATAATTCCATAACTGTACATTCATAATTCCATAACTGTACATTCATAATTCCATAACTGTACATTCATAATTCCATACTGTATATTCATAATTTCATACCGAACATTCATAATTTTCGAAGCTCTATGTTCATAATTGTAAGTTCATAATTCCATAACTATACATTCATAATTCTATAACTGTACATTCATAATGTCATAACTGTATATTCATAATTTCATAACGAATATGTCGTTAACGCCGTTAACGGCGTTTCGAACAAATTTTTTTTTTTTAGTTAAAACAGCGTCGTTTTCACGGAAAACGACGCCGTTTTAGCGTCGTGCGCATAGCATAATTTGCCCTGTTTCGCTGAACACAAAAAGCCCAAAACTACGTAACTATTACACTTAGGCCCAGTAACTCAGATCATGGGCCTGGTCTATTCCGTTTATTTTAGAACCCGGAAAACCAGGAATCCAGAAGCTTCTTTCTAGAACTTCTCAGCCCTTTTCTATTTTTTCATTTTTTTTTTTAGGCTCTTCCTTATCGTGCCGGTCCTTATATACAACTTCCGCCATTTTCTGGTGCCTTCTGGAGAGCCTTCGAGAGCTTAAACAGATCAGCCGTTTCTTCGTCTCTGCAATCGAGAGTATAGAATCGATCAAAGGAAAATGGCTTCAGCTGACGGAGTGGAAGGGTTGGCTTTGGACTTGGATGAACTGAAGCATCTTCAGAGCGTTGCAAAGAGGCCTCGCGTTCTCTCTCTCATTTCCTCTGAAATTCAAAAGTTGGAGAAGGTCATTTTCTACTTTCTATATCCATATTTTGGAGTTCCGTTTTTTGTTTTGTTTTAATAATTAAAATGATATTTGATCGGTCAGTTTTGACGGACAGATGATGATATTAGAGCATTGATTATTTTTAATAGTTTCATTTTCATTTTTTGTTTTTGTTTTTTTGGTGTTATTAGCTCATTTTGTTGTTTGATTATTTAGTGTAGTTATTTTCGTATTGATGATGCTAAAGCTTATTTCGAAATTGACGCCCAAAACACGCGAAGAAATTGGAAATATGATGCAGTTACGGATAATATTGCTGGTTATAGGTTAATCCACCAGTTTCTTTTAGACTGTTGGAAATTTTGTGGGCTAGATAACCTTTAGTCCTTAAAGTGATACTAAAAGTGTGAACGAAAAACTGAGACTAAGTAGGTGTAGGATTTAATCTTTGTATTGTTTGTAAAAGGCATTGGGGAAACTTGTGGATACAATGATTCCGCCCGTTCCTAATGGTAGTGCAGTAATGAATATTTATCACATAATATAGTGCCTTAATGAAGTTTTCAATTCATTAATTTTAATTTCTCACTTTATGAAAAATTGCTCCTCATATGCAAGACCACATGTTAACATAGAATTCTCTCCAATCAGATTAATTAAAAAAATTTGTTGCTTGCTATTCTAGTGCATATTCTATTTAGTGTATCAGGTTCATGTCTGTGTACCTTGAAAACTTCAAGGAATCTTACAATTATAAAGGGTACTCGTTGCCATTCACATTTTCATCTTGGTTGTTAGATTTGCTACCTATGGCATATGATTGTTTCATATCAAGTTATGAGGCACTTTAAGAGTACTGAGTTGAGATAGTGGCATTTAAAGAATCTTAATTTGCTCTATTTAGTCATTAGTGTCTGTTTGTAGAAAACTTTGCAAGTCCACTTGATCTTTATCTATGATGCATACAAACTCTAGAGTGGATGTTTCCATGTTTGGAAGTCCTTCCTTTAAGAAACTTTGGACACTCCATAAAATGTTTTAGAATTGGTTCCCTAATTAATTATTTAAAAAAAAATGCATCTCCTAAAGTCAAACTAATAAATGATTAATATTTATGCATATCTAAAGATAAAGAACTATTTACAAATATACACTTATATTTTTATATCTGTATGCTTCTGTCACATTTTGTATTCTGCATTTCCCTATTTTCCTGTTTTTGTGCTTCCTAGATCTTTCTTTATTGTTAAACAGACCAAATGATGTGATGTTTACTTTTAATGATGTAATTATTGTTGAGTATTCAAATTTGTGCAATCTCATTTGTTTGCCCTTTCTACATAATTAAATTTAACTCTTAAGTTTTAATTACTTAAACAGCCCGTTGGAAAGACAGACTATTAGACGTTCTGTTGCTTAAGAATTTCTATTGTATTTTGATGCTGGAAGGATGGCTACATATTATTAAGTTTTAGTTGCCAATCCTGTATTAGAAATTTTTAAGGTCTCAACCCTGAGTGCCACATGCTGTGCACACATGATGTACCCATATTCTTGGAAGAAAATAAAGCCAAATGCAAGTTTAAAGTATGACCACCCTCATTTTAGTATGCTATGGAAATTGTTTTACGGAGTATTAGGTTTATGGGCATTAAAATTTGCTATATATGACATGTTTTCCTAGTTGGAAGGTATTTTGCTCACTGCTTTAAATGTTGCGAAACTAAATGTATATTGTTGTTATGCAGCTGTCAAAAGATGCAAGCTCTGTTTCTCCAGTACCAACTCCAATTTCAACTGCACCAAAGGTTATATCTAATCCGGCACTGAGTTATTCAACAGTTGCATCCTTTAGCTGGGATCAGGACAATGACAAAGTGAAGGTGAGAGGATGAATAAAGATCTGTGTGTTGAATCCTCCATAGTAGGTGATACAAATTATCTGTAATTTCCAAACTACTAGGGTTCTGTTCCTGTTGTCAAGTAATTATCTTCTAAAAGCCGTGGCATTCATTTTTAGTCCTGGCGGGTTATCTTTCACCTTTGTCTTGGACATTTTTGACTAGTTAAGTAATTATCCTTCTGACAAACAACCATGCATGCTTATGGACTTAGCTATGTATGGGTTAAGTGCACTATTTGATTATGACTGCAATTGTTTTAATTGTGTTTTCTAGATTTATATCTCCTTGGAAGGAGTTGATCAGGAGAAAATGGAGACCGACTTTAAACCAATGTCTGTTGATGTGAAATTCCATGATGTGCAAGGCAAAAACTACCGCTTTTCCTTATCAAAGTTGAACAAGGAGATAGTTCCTGAGAAATGTAAAGTAATGGTGAAGCCCACAAGGGTCACATTCACCTTGCCAAAAGCTTCTAAAGGGAACTGGTTAGATTTGCTCTACAAAGAGGACAAGGTAATTTCTTTAAACTGCGCATTCAAGCCTTAAAATGAGGTTAGCTTCATAATTTGCAATGGTATGTGCTTATAATCATTTTGTGTACAACAGTTTAAGCCCAGTGTTGAGAAAGAAAAGGATCCCATGGCTGGAATAATGGATTTGATGAAGGTAAAGGTTTATTATATTCAGATTGATTGATGCTCCTCATTTGTTTGTTACTTTCTTAATACTTGTTTTGATTTTCAGAATATGTACGACGATGGTGATGAAGAGATGAAACGCACCATTGCAAAAGCGTGGTCAGATGCTAGAGCTGGCAAATCAGCTGATCCACTCAAGGGTTACAATTGAAGAAAGTAGTTTGTAGCTTATTTCTACGGACTTGTTTTGGCGTTTCAGGAAGGTTTATGGATTTGGTGGTTTAGCTAATGTAGTAACATTGTATTTACTGATGTTCTTTATTAATGCTAAATATGTTCTTTATTAATTCACACTCCAGTTTCTGAAACCAATAAATCCCAGTAACAATTGTTATACGGAGTACTATGGACTAGGATCTAGGGTTTATCTTATATTGTGGATTATCCTTTAAAAATATTAGGGAAAAATATAAAAAAAATGCCCTTCTATAATATGTTAATTATCAATGTCACTCATGAATTATAAGCGGTGTAAATATTATCTCTCAATTATCAAAATTGTGTACATATAGTCCCTCTCGTAATGGATTTTAATGTACAATGTACATCGTTAAGTTGAGGTAAATATGTAATTTAGTTATTTTTTCTTTTTTCTGTTTTTTTTTTTTTAATCTCCCGTAAGTTTTTTTCATTTTTCTTTCTCGACCTTAACAAACAACAGTCCGGTGGCGTTCATGGTGTCTGTAGCTACTGTTCAAGCTGGAAACAAAAAACGTCGCTGGACTTTTCCGATGTCCATCGCTAGTACTTCGAATCGAGGGAGGGTCTCATCGGAGCTCTTCCGTCGCTGTCGCTACTGGACGCCACCAATCGAGTCCACCTCCATGGTTGCTCGCCGCCGGACTGTTGTTTGTTGATGCCGAGAAAGAAAAAGGAAAAAATAAAGGGAAAATATAAAAAAACAACTAAATTACACATTTATCCCGAATTAACGGTATACTAACAGTCCGTTACGGGGGGCTATATATGCACTGTTTTGATAATTGAGGGGCAATATTTACACCATTAATAATTTATAGATGACATTGATAATTGGTATATTATAGAGGGGCAATTTTTACAATTTTCTCAAAATATTTCCAAACATAATTTGTTAACTATAGATACATAGTTAATAGATTATGTTATGTAGACGGTAATAACATATGAGGTGTTTGGTAAATAGTTGTTAGCTAATTGGGTTAGTAGGTTTGACTAGTTGATAACATTAGCAAGTGTTTAGTAAATTAGTAGTTAACTGGTAATCGATTATATGCAAAATGATTTTCTCAAAAAAATGATCGGGAAAAAATTATTTTGAGCATCTTTTTAAATTTTAGTATTTTAGTGTAATAAGTTTATTACAAAAAGTTAATTAATCAAACACTCATATATTGTTTAATGAAGTCAAACAGTTAATAGTGGTCAAATAAGTTAAAAATAACTGATAAGTTAAATATGTTACCAAACAAGGTTATATACTGAATGTCATTTTGAATTAAGATTCACAATGAAAGATGAACTATTTTATGGTATAATTTGTCCCCAGTAATCCACCCATGTAACAAAGCTTGCAAATTCAAGCGTATTATCTGCGAATTTTGTGCAACATGGCTTCCTAGGGGCGGACCTAGAGTGGGGGGCAGTTGCCCCCACTCACCCCATATATAATCCTTGTATGTATATATGTATGTATATATAGTACAAGGTTTAAGTATACGTAGATGAAAACAGCTAATGTTAATGAAAGTGAACCTACCCCAGATGGTAGAACATTCGTGTAAGCTTGAAGAAGGTTAATTGTTTGACTCTGGCTAATGACGTGAATGTATATATTTTGGCAATTTGAATAATAGTGGCTTCAACATAGTTAAACTCTTAAAATATATGTATATGTTTTATAATACTTTCAAAATATATGTATATAGTTTTATTTTATATTAATAATAAGATAATGTGTTTTCTATTAATAATAAGATGTGTAATTTATAATGTGTTTTCTGTTAGAATTATTATATCAAATTAATTATGTTTTATATTTTGTTATAATTTTTTTTCGTTCACTCATATGTGTAATTTATAATGTGTTTTCTATTGATAATAAAATGTTTAATTTATAATGTGTTTTCTATTAAAATTATTTTACCAAATTAATTATGTTTCATATTTTGTTATACATATCTAACAATATTTGTGGTTGATTTCTTAACTATTTCATCTGTTTTAAGATATCCCTTTTGTTCTAATGTTTCGTCCTCACTGAACAAAATTTCTTGGTCCGCCACTGTGGCTTCCTATTTTTAATACCCCTACCAAAATGTAAACCCAACAACTATGCATATGGACTTGCACTTTGTGCTTGATTGAGAATTGTGATGCTGGAAAACTATTTAGGAATGAGTTATTATTATTTTCTTTTCAAACATTTTGGAATTGTTTTTGTAATTGATATTTTTTTAATAGTCAATATACCTTACATCTCAATTATAAAATTAACCAACAATTACTTTGCAATATTCATGAGAACCATGTACCATGTGAGAACTGTAGTTTAATTGGGCTAGTGAAATTAGATAGTCCATGATTGTGTTCAAATCATCCTCATCTACTAATTAGCGTTGATTAAGGAAGATATTAATAAGAAAAACGGCTTTGAATGGCAATTTGATCATCATCAATCCACAACAATATAGCGTAAACATCTCTCACTATCATTTTTAAACTCACCCAATATCTCTAAGCATACTAGTGTTCTACGTTACCAATTCTAGACTTATCCAACTACTCCAGCCACCATATCGACATCCTCATAACCAATGAACAAATAGCCTATGCAATCATTATAGTACAAGTACCAATCATGTGCATTCATATTGTTTGATCGTGCATTCTTATATAGAATGTAGTGCATCAATAACTCTCTTGTTTTGCATCCACTTTGTGAAGCTGTTGGAAACACAATTTGAACACATAGTTCACCCAGACTAACACAACATGCACACCACTGCCCCTTCAGATGAACACCTTTATCGCTAACAATGCACACTTGTATCTTTAGGAGTGAACAAGACGTACAATATTTTGTAAGTGCACACCTTAAACCTCTAAACCCTAAACCCCACACCATGCAATGCACATCCCAACATCTTACAATGCACCACCCCTTGACAAATACCCTTAGCGGAAAAGAAAAAAAAAAATCCTCAGATGCATACCTGACGCCCTGCAATCAATGAACAACCCAAAGCCCTACGTTGCACCACACCTAGTGAACCAATGAACAATTTAACGACTTACGATGCATACCCCTAAATTACATGTATATTAACAAACCTAATTAAAAATATATTACAGCGAACCAAAAAATTTAAAAAAAAAAAAAAAAAAAAATCTAAAGTCATGTCGAACAGTAATGAGTAATGACCAAGGATGAAAAAAAAAAAAAAAAAAAAAAAAAGGAAAACAACAACAAACTCAGACGGAAAAAACAAAACATACCATATAAATCTCTATAATCAAGGTACATAATGTC